ATTTATTTTTTATGTACATTGGTGTTTTGCCCGTGTGTATAATTTTTGTATATCCATGAGGGTGTTGGATGCCTTGGAACAGGAGTTACAGACACTTATGACCTACCATGTGTGTGCTGGGAATTGAACCCAGGCCCTCTGGAAGAGCAGCTGGTGCTCTTAACTGCTGAGTCACCTCTCCAGCCTGCCTACTCTTTGCTTCTTCACTTGCTAAGTTGCCCAGGCTGGTCTTGAGTTACCCAGATAGGCCTTGATCTTTCTACCTCAGCCTCCTGGGTAGCTGAGATGACAGGCCTGAGCACCAGGCTTGGTTTGCTTTTTCCTGTTCTTCTGTTTTGTTTTGTTTGTTTTGTTTTGTAGTCAGGGTTTCTCTGTGTGTAGCTCTGGCTGTCCTGGAACATGTTTTGTAGATCAGGGTGGTCTCAAACTCACAGAGATCTGCCTGTAGGAATTAAAGGTATGCCTGGCACTTTTTACTATGAGAGAAAGAGAACACTGCACGAGTACATGTGTGTACTCATGAATGTAGAAATCAGATGGCCTGCATTGGATAGTTTCAAGACTCAATTACTGTTCTATCTATCTATCTATCTATCTATCTATCTATCTATCTATCGTTTAAGTTAGCCTGGGTGACTCCATTTTGAAATGAGGAGCCATCTTGACTGGGGGCTGAACTCAAATACCAGGAAATATCACAGAATGTGCACTTGGCAGAAAACAAAGTTAACTTTCCCAGCAACAGCCTCCAGGACATATCACAGAATAAATACTTGATAAAATATAGAGACAATCTCCCTGGCAATAATCAATGAGAATCCCCAACATTCCAGATGTAGTTTAGAAGAATGGTAATTGTGATTATTTGGAAGGTCACCTCGCCTCTATGGCTTTTACCCAATCCTGTAACGTCAACGCATGAACCCCCATATTTGCTGTCAGGAAAAACCCTGCTTGTGGTTTTTCCCTTTAAAAACCCTGCTCACCCAGAGCACAGGGTCCCACTTCTCTACTGCTGCATCAGGGACACTTGGGTCCCGAGTTTGATCGCTCTCTTAATAAAGCTCTCGCATAGAGTCTCCTGAGGGTCTCATGATCCTGGCATAACACTATCTCTCTCCAGTGTCTTACTGTGTAGCCCTGGCTGGCCTAGAACTCATAGAGATCTGCCTGCCTCTGCCTTCTGAATGCTAGGGTTAAAGGTATATGTCACCCTGCCCAACTTTCCACCTCATTGTTCAAATTAAATTAAATTAAATTAAATTAAATTAATTTTATGTGTATGTGTGAGTACAGGTGTGCCATGGACCACTTGTGGTGGTCAATGAAGAACCTTAGGAGTCAATTCTCTCCTGCTACCTTGTGGGATTGGAGGACTAAACTCAGGCTGTTAGGTAGGCAAGCAAGTACCTTCGCTGGATGAACCATCTCACTGTCTTTGTCCAATATTTTTTTGAGACAGCATCTTTTCCTGAACTTTAACTTTACAACTAGGCAAGGTCAGCTGGCTGGTAAGTCCTAGGGGTCTGTCTTGTCTCTATCTCCCCAGGACTACATTACAGATGTGTCCTAACACAAGGGTGCTTTTTGTTCTGGATGATGGATTTCAGAGTCTGGGTTCTCATGCTTGTACAGAAGCACTTACCCAGCTAAACTGCATCCCTAGAACTGTTCCATTCTTTGTTTTATGCAGCCTTGGCTGGCCTCAAACTCTAGATCCTCCTTCGTTAACCTCCAAGTACTGAGATGATGGGCATGCACCACCAGTCTTGGCTGCTTCACTGTTTTCTTATATACTTTCTTTAGCTCACGACCAGCCCTGGCTGGAATCCCAACTCTGCTTGGATTTAGTTCAAAAGCTGTATTTCAGAAAGTCTTCTTGACTTTTACCTGAGCAGGCCTAGCTTCCTTTATCCCCTTCATGGATTTTGCAACAGTTGCAAACACACTTTTCTTTATGAAAGGTTGTGATTAATGTCTGCTGCCTCATCATTAAAACACTTGAAAATAGAGCTCCACTATAAGGTCTATCAGATTAGAATATGCCCTAGATTCTAGCTTGCTAGGGCCTAGAAAGTCCACTGGCATACAGCTGATGCTCAATAAATATGGGTAACAGTGATTGAGAATTGTCACCTTAAAGTAATTATCCTTTAAAAACTTAGTCATTGCCAGGTAGCGGTGCACTCCTTTAATCCCAGTACTCCAGAGGCAGAGGCAGTTGGATCACTGTGAGTTCAAAGCCAGCATGGTCTACAAAGCAAGTCCAGGACAGCCAGGGATACACAGAGAAACCCTGTCTTGAAAACCAAACCAAACCAAACCAAACCAAACCAAACCAAACCAAACCAATGCCCTTCAAACAAACAAATGAAAAACAAAATACAAAAAATGCTTACTCATAGAGGTAAAGTCAAGCCTTACTGGCAAGCCTGATGACTTGAGTTAGCTCTCTGGAATCCACATGTTTCCAAGAGAAACAACTCTTCCAAACTGTCCTCTGACCTCCATAAGTACAGTTTACAGGCACACCCATACACATAAAAGTAAATAAACAATGTTATAAGGACAACAACCAACCAACCAAATCGTCACTCATACTGAGGGGGACCTGGCCCAGTCAAAGAACCACAGAAAAATCCTGTGTCCTTTCCTCTTCTCTCACCAAGACCTTTGTTTACACTTACACTTACACTAACGTTTTCTTTCCCACCTTTGGCTGTTTGTGTGCATGTTAATGGGAGACTGGGCATCAGGCAGATACCTAAGAAGAGAAGAGGTGTTGCTGAAGTTACTGGAAAGCTTAGACTCTTAAACCTTGGCTCAGCTCCTCAGACTCTGTTTTTTGTGTTTTTGTTTGTTTGTTTGTTTTTTTCCTCAAAACAAGGTTTCTCTGTGCAGCCTTGGCTGGCCTGGACTTTGTACACCAGGCTGGCCTTGAACTTGTTATGCCAGGTTCACAGGACCCTCAGAGACTACCAGGAGATGACTCCATGCAATTGCAAGAGAGCTTTATTACAAGAGAAATCGAACTCAGGACCCAAGTCTCTCTGCCGCAGCAGTAGAGAAGTGGGACCCTGAGCTCTGAGTGAACAGGATTTTTAAAGGGAAAGTCTGTGAGTCGGGGGTTTCCATGGCAGCAAGCAGGGGGGCACAAGTCTTGGCATTACAGAATTGGGTGAAGTTTAGCAGGGCAGGGTGACCTTTTTTGAGGCACACAATCTCAATGGCTAAGGCATATAATCACAATGGCTATTTTTCTAAACCATATCTGAAACATTGGGGAGAATTTTCCCACCTGATTCTCAACCAATTCCCATTGATTATTGCCAGGGAGTTTGTCTCTATTTTCTATGAAGCATTTATTCTGTTATATTTCCTGGAGGCTGTTGCTAGGAGAGTTAACTTTGTTTTCTGCCAGGTGTACATTCTGTGATATTTCCTGGTACCTGAATTCAGTTCCCAGTCAAGATCTTTATTTCATAATGGAGTTATATTCAGGCTAACTTAAACTCTTCAAACTCACAGTTATCCCCCTGCCTCTGCCTCCCTGAGTGCTGGGATTAAAGGCATGTGCTACCATGCCCTGCACAGTCTTCTATCTTAAGCAGTACTGAGGCAGCATTACACAGTGGTGTTATTAATTTATTTTCTCCCCCATCCCCCAGCAGGACTGCCTTTTTCCAAAGCTAGGCTCAGTCATTCATCATGTAAATGCTCTTTGACAAGTTGCTTTTTGCTTTTCTGTTTTGGCCTCTAAACTGAAAATTTAGGAAGAATAGTATTACCTACTTCATGTGTTAACATGTGAATTCTAGGTTAATGTGTGTACATTGTTAAGTATGAAGCCTTGAGTAGTTCTCTAACCATGAATGTTAAGTATTCTTATGTGTCTAAGCTTCAGTGTCCTTGCATTTGAGATGAAGATCAATAACTGGGTTGTTGCCAGCCAGTTGCCAACAACAACTGGTTGTTGCCCCCTATTTCATAGGGTAGAGGCAGGGGCCTGTTTTGTTCATGGCTCTGCTTCCAGGACCTAACATATTCTCTGGCTTGTGGTTGGCCTCAAAAATTATATTTATCTTACTCATTTACTTTATTATTTTTTAAATTAAAATATTTTCGAAGGGGCTGGCGGTGTATAGATAGTTGAGTTGGTAGATAAGAGTGCTTCTCTGGCATGGAGGAAGCCCTGGGTTCTGTTCTCAGCACCAGTTAATGCAGTCGGCTAGGGAAGAAGTGCTCCATGGTGCATGCCTTTACTCCTAACACTTGAGAAGCAAAGGCAGGAGGATCTCTGAGTTGGAGGCCAGCCTCATCTACAAATTGAGCTCCAGAAAAGCCAGGGCCTGGCTACACAGAGAAATCCAGTCTGTTGGGGGAAAAAAAAATGGAGGCAGGAGTATCAGAAGTTCAAGGTCATCATCTAGTACAATGTGCTTTAGAGGCAAGACTTAGTTATTATATAAGAATCTGTCCCCAAATGCCCCAACTTCCAACCAACAAGGAAAGGAGTTATTTCCTGGCTATGGAGGAAAGGTGGCAAACTGGTGTTTAGGGTGAAGAGCTCAGTGTTTAGGATGGAATCATAGGCTCCTAAGAACTCCGCTTCTACTCGCAGTGGCTCTGAGCGAGTCTCCTACTTCTCAGAACCTCATTTTTCCCATCTGTTCCCTTCACTTTCTTGGGAGCTTATGTCCCTAACCCGCCAGTGGCAAGCCCGTCGAATATGAAGGAAAAAGCCCTAAATCATGCAAGCACTGCGTTCTCCCGCAGTACGGGAAAGGCTGTAGAGTTAGTATCACCTGTGACAAAGCTGGGGCGTGGAGAGCCCAGCGCGGGACTCCGTGTCAGCGATACGAACCAGCTGGGGGTTAGAGCTGCAGATATGGCCTGCAGGCCCAGCTCGGGGCACAGAGTGATCGCACTGGCTCCCACGCGGGGGCGGGGCTGGGCGGGGCTGGGCGGGGCTGCATCCCGGTGACGCGAGCCAACCGCGCGGCTCTGCGGCTCTTCGCTCTGCCGGCCTCCCGCATGGCGCTGCGCAGCTTCTGCAGCGCTGATGGCCCCGATCCACTTTGGGTAGGTAGTGGGCCGCGGGGGTCAGTGCGGGGCGTCCCGGGAGGTCCTGGGGACGCAGGGGACGCTGGGAGGCGCAGACTCAGCGGCTCTCCTGCAGGAGCCCTACTCTGCTCACGCGGCGACCTGCCACCCGCGCCCAGGCGCTGCGGCGGCTTTCAGACGCCGGGGACCCGGTTCCGGGAGAGCTGGGCCTCAGTGCTTCAGGGTTCTGCCTTCGGGAGGGGATGCCAGATCCAAGATCTGGGGGTTTTCCGTTCTTTGTGGGAGTAGGATCTCCATTCGCCGGGCACACCCCGTCACTTAGCACCGTGCAGGAGCCTGTGCTCTAGAAAGGGACTTCCCATCGCTTGTTTTGGGGTTCTCCCGCCGTTTGTTTTTCCTCCTGGTTACTTTGGTTTCATGTTATTATTATTTTTTTCACCCTTTCTTTCCTTTGTGCCTAAATGCTACCAGGAAGTTTAAGGAAACAGGAGGGGAAACCAAGAGAGGGTAGGGTTTTTTTTTTTTCTCTCTCTCTTTGCAGATTTGGGGTTCAGTGGGAAATGCCGGGGACCCTAGTACCCGGGGGAGTGCCTTTTACCCTGTGAGGCAGTGAGGCGTGAGGGATGTCCTCTGGACTTCTGGCTCTCTCCAGGTAGCTTTCTTCTGAAATGAGCCCAGCCAGGCTGGGTTCCCTGGCTCTAATCCCCAGTGCTTGTGGATTTCATGTTTCTGTAATGCGATTTGCCCGTTGTTCCAGAACACTCCTGTATCGTGCTGTCCTGATTATTAGAGAATGCAATAGGACAGCTTGGACACAATGACTTTTCTTTTTGTTTGAGAAAGAAAAAACACCGCTGTTTCTTAGCAGCCGCCAATTAGCGCCCACAAGTATTTGTTCTGTTACCTCTCTGATAGGCTGCATTAGGAAAAGCGCCCACAAGTATTTGTTCTGTTACCTCTCTGATAGGCTGCATTAGGAACGGTGACCTATGAAGGCCCACTGGGAGACTTAAGTTTTTTGGGTGAAGATGATACCAGTTTTGGTTGAGAAACTTACTACATTTGGATATGACTGTTTTAAAGAGGCTGAAGGTTTCTCCAGAGCAGGAAACAATGCTTGTGATTTGCATTCAGGAGTCTGCAAGAGATTGGTGCCTGTTTGCTACAAAGGAACACCTGTGTGTCCTCTACCCTTGTATTTGGTGTGGAAAAAACAGAATTATTTGCAAGGACCCGGTGGGATCTGGTTCAGTATTAAATGGATACTCCTGTATTTCCTGTTTTTTTCTCTTTGTGGTGGAAGGGGAGTAGGTTACCAGACATTAGATTCTCTACTAGTTTGTTTATTTTATTTTTGCATGTACATAATACATACATATACACACACATATATTTGTGTGTGAGTGCATGAGTGCATGCATACCATGGCACACATATTTGGAAGTTGGTTCTCTCCTTTCATTATATAGGTTCCAAGGATTGAGCTCAGGTCATCAGGCTTAATTGCAAGCATTTTGCCAGACCGTACCAGGATGTATTTTATTGCTGGGCAGTGATGACTAAAAAGTGTTTGGGGTATTCTCTAGCTTCTAATTTTCTGAGAAGCTACCCAAGAAACCTGGTTTTGTGATCTTTCCTTCCAGGGACTTTTTGCTACAGAAAATTAAGACGGGTGAATTGAATTGTATTTGGCAGTAGTGGTGGCAGGCCTTCACCTTAGGCAGGTTCCATTCTCCCTCAACTCTTATCTTGTAGACTTCCTGTGTCGCTCCTCTCACTGGTCTAGGCTTGCTGGTCACCCTGTTTCTGGAAACCAGAATGGATGAGAGGCAGTTGGCAAGCAAGAACTTCCACGTAGCTAGAGAATCCAAACACAATACAGAATGGGTTGCTTGGTCTGTGTGCACACACCTGTAATCAAAGCACTGGGAAAGGTGAGGCAGACTGTCTCAAAGGACAACTAACTGAAGCAGGTGGCTTGTATTTTTCAAGGCTAGGTGCAGTCAGCACAGTCTAACATTTCAGTAGGCAGGCACCTGTACCCCCCTCCCCACTATCCCCTGTTCCTAGAGATTGAACCTAGGGCCTCACTTTACCACTGTGTTAACATTCCCTGCTAAACTTTATCATCTTGAGTAAATTGTTTCACTGCTGACTGTGCCACAGTTCATTTGTAGAATAGGGGTATGAGGAAAACATCTCTGCTTTCTATGTCTGGTGTGAGTGGTCTAGCCATATAGTGGTCTAGTGCTATAGTCATGGGTTTATCAGTGTGAATGAGTGGTTTAGTCTGCACTGTGCTTTGCCTTTTTTATTTTATTTTTTAAATTTCATATATCCTGATCCCAGTTTCACCTGCCCCCAGTCCCTCCCTCACATTCCCACTTTCCCTAGATCTACTCCTCCTCTGTTCCCTTTCAGATGAGAGCAGATTTAGAGACCCACAGCCAAATATTAGGTGGAACTGGTGGAACCCGCAGAAGAGGGGGAGGAAGGATTGTAGAAACCAGAGAGGTTGAGAATACCAGGAGAACAGGGCCCACAGAATCAACTAGTGGGGCTTTGTACCTAATAGAGGCTGATACACTTTGTATTTTTACTTCCTGGTCATTCTATTGGACTCACTTTCTGTCTCCTTGGTGGGAGTGGGCTACAGTCTAGCCTTTTTGCTACTCATACTTTGATCCTTTTAGAACCAACATCATGCTTAGAGAAGTCAAGATTCCACCCATTAGGGACTCTGAGATCCTTCCTCCTGAGCGAGACGCTGCTGCTGAGACCTTACCGACTTCCCTCAGGTAGAGATCTGAGATGAAAAAATAGAAACAGTGTTATCTTAAGTGGAAAGTTGGAGCTGAGAGCCGGTAGTGGCTTGCTTTTCTTACTGGGAGTGTGGATCTGGTAGGAGGTAGGTGGTTTTGTGACTGACTGATCTTTGTAAGATGGTTGGGAAAAGTGGTCTGGGCCTCTCTTTGTAAGTTACTTAAAAAAAAAAAATCTCATATATGTATATGAGGAGATGCCCCAATGGGCAAGAGTGCTTAATGAGCAAGAAGAGCCTAAGTTTGAATCATAGTACCCATATAAATATACAGGCATGGCTGTGTCTTTAACCTCAGCAATTGAGGGGGAGGAAAAAGAGTGGTTAGTTAGTCTACAAAAAGCAAGCTTCAGGTTCAGTGAGAGACCCTGTCTCAAGGAAATAAGAATGATAGAGGAAGACACCTGCTATGCTCCTTTGGCTTATGCATGGGTATGAACACTCTTATACATATGTGTACACATGCACATATTCCACATGTACACACCATCATATACACAGCAAATTTAAAAAATTAGAAAATATGTATTAAGCCTTGAACAGGCCTGTCATCCTGGCTACTGAAGAGTCTGAGGCAGGAGGAACACAAGTTCAAGGCCAGCCTAGGCAGTTTATAAAGACCTTGTTTTAAAAATCACACGTAAAAAAGGACCTGGAGCTCTAGTTCTGTGGTACAGCACTTGCCTAGCATGTGTGAGCCCCCACACTCAATTCCCAGTACCTCTAAAAACAAAAACAAAAAAACAAAAATAAAAAGAAAAGTTCTAATTTCATGCTTAATGTAGAAATATTGGTGAACTCAGTCAGTTCTGTAGGCAATGGCTCAGAGCAAGTGCCTGTGTGCCCTGCACTCAGAAGTTGGTTTTGTAGCTAAGGTGGGTTACTTTTCTACTCTGTACTCCAGTTTCCCCTAGGAGTACCTAGGAAATGGCAGTTTGAATATTGAATAATGAATTCATGGAAAGCACTGGGAACAGTACAGGTTAGCACTCAGTAGATGTAAGTGCTCGCAGTTGGGTGGGACTCCAACTTTGATTTTTGTTCCACCTGCTGAGAACATCTGGTGGACAAAAACAAGTCAGCAGCAGATTAGCAGTGTAGGCTCTGGAGTGAGTTGGTTGCGGAGGCCTAAATTGGCTTGTGGCACCCAGCTCCCCAGCACCCTGAACACTGTCCAATCAGTGCAGCAAATGGATCTTGGTGACTGGTGTAAAATTGCTTCTGTTGTAGCAAGTGGCCTTGGAAAGCTTTCTTTCTTTCTTTCTTTCTTTCTTTCTTTCTTTCTTTCTTTCTTTCTTTCTTTCTTTCTTTCTTCCTTCCTTCCTTCCTTCCTTCCTTCCTTCCTTCCTTCCTTCCTTCCTTCCTTCTTTTCTTTTTTCTTTTTCTTTTTCCTTTTTCTTTTCTTTTTTTTACCCTCCTCTTTTAAGGACCTTGTTGCTTTTCCTTCCACTGCCATCTACCACACCTGTCATTCTTTGCTCTCCTAAGCTTGTGGATTAATGTAGTCAGTCAGGTCCCTGCCTTTCCTCTCTTGACCAGATGCTTGTAAGCATCTGAGTGCAGCTTGGAATGGTGGGGTGAGGGTACTAAGAAAACCAGGCAAATGACTTTGGGGACTTGTGGGAGGACTGGCCCAAGAAACTCTAGTTCGTGGTCCATGGCCTTGAGCCCTGGCCTTTCAGGAGGAAGCTGTAGCTATCTCTGTGGCTTAGCCCAGGGTCTGGGAGGGTCTCCTTTCCTGGAGCCTGCTGGACTTCTTTCGCTCTTGGAGGTGCTTCACTTTGCTAGTGTGGTAGTAGGTGATAGAGCCCCTCTACTTGTCAGCTTGACTTGGAGGCTTCCAGGAAACCACTGTGGGAATTCAGGGACATCTTTATCCTACTGCATCCTGGGAGGAGCTGAGGTACCTCTAGGAAGATGGTCTTTCTCTTGGGGGCCAAAACCTGTGGTATCCTTGATTTTGTTTTTTAAAATAATGTATTCTTATTTTATGTGTATTGGTATTTTGCCTGCATGTATATCTGTGTGTGGGAGTCAGATCCCCTGGAACTGGAGTTACAGATGGTTCTGAGCTGTCATGTGGGTGCTGGGAATTGAACCTGAGTCCTCTGGAAGATCAGCCAGTGCTCTTAACTGCTGAGTTTTCTCTCTGGATTTCGTACTTGATTCTTTTTCTTTTCTTTCCTTCTCTCTCTCT